TTTGCCTATTATTGAATGGAAAGGTTGTGGTCGGTCTGAGGAAGGGAACAAGGTATCTGGATCCTAAATCCAAAGCCCACATGGAGTTTTGATCTTTTAGGCTGAAATATGAAATATTGGATTTAGAGAAAGTCCTCTGAACTCAGAAGCTGATCATTCTGTCTCACAATACTTAAATGGTTAAGTTTTTGTCTTCTGATTAGAGTTAAAATGTACTTCTTCATGGAATTTTGTATTTGGGATAGATGCCTGACTTGACAGTTTTGAAAATTGGATATAATCTTCCAAGTATTGCATCCCAAAATTATGAATCGTGAGATGATAAAAAAAAAAAATTGGTGTTCTTTATGTTTATTTCTGGATGTTTGCTTATAGGTTTGCTTTTCATTTCTTCTCATGGTAACCAGAAAACTCGAAAGGCTTCAAGCCACATGGAACCACAAGGCTCAAGGATTTGGAATGTTAAGGGAAGACCCCAAATCCTGTAAATGTGAGCCAAATAAAGGAGAAGGTATGGTAGCAATGTCAACCTCCATAATCAGTATCATTTTGACTTGGTGGGACAATTGTCATAGGTGGGTAGGTATTTTTATATCTTTCACAATTATTTTCTAGCTTCTTCTGCTGAAGACTGCCAAAACAATTTCCATCTGAAAATAAGTGAGGTTAAAAACTTTGATTTGGATCATCATTTAGACTTACAGAGATAACTATCTCAATTCACATACAGCTGCCTTTTTATGCTGTAAGAACCTTCCATTCAGTAACTAGCCAAATGGAATAGATTTGTCAGTGAAACAAAATAAGTTGCTCTGTATGCATTTTTTTATTTTATCTTTCAGTAGCCTTTGTTGAAGGATAAAAAAGTCACCAAAATGAGTAAACAAGTCTGCCTGCTCCTCATACCCACCATATAGGTTGAAAATGGCTTTGTCTATAGGACACAGTATAATTTATTTATACTCCAGAAGGCTTTCTTTTTACATTATTAAAAGGAGCAAAAATGAATTTTGGGCCAGGTACAAACATTAAAGTTTTTCCAGTGTGGGTCCCATAACAGAACAGAAGTTTTGGAGCACGTAGACTGGTTTAAAAATGGCAGAACCCAGTTTAAGATAGACTGGGATGGATGTAGTGTCAGACTTAACCTACTTAGGTTAGACTGATCTATTGAATTTCAGTGCTAGATCCCCTTCCGACCCAAGTTAGGTTGTAGTCTGCCAGCATCCCAGGCTCCTTTGCGGCTCCTCCGCTAACCCCCACTCGCAAAGGCAGTTTGCTAGCTTTGCCCATGCTTGGCTGCTCTGAACTGTCAGCCACAGGTGAGGCAGTAAGAAGGGAGCAGTAGTACCTCAGGATTTTTCTATTTTTATATAGTGTCTTTAGATGGGAGTGGGGAGCAGCCCAGTGGCAACAGAGTATGGCAGGCAGAGCAAGCCAGTGGTGGCTGTGGGCTGCTGTGCCCTGTATGTGTGGGGCAGGCAGGGCCATGGCAGGGGTGGGGGTAGTCCTGGTCGTGGTGGCTGGGAGTAGAGCTGCAGTTGCTGCCTCCCTGTGCCACCGCTGCTGCTGCTGCTGCTGCTGGCGGCACTGG